ACACGTGCCATAAACTGGCCTTTCTGGCTCAATGACAAGTATAGAAAATCATGATTCTTGTGAGATTCCCACATAAAGTCCAAGAACAAACATATTCAACAAAAAACCTAACCTGTGCATTTTTGTTTCTTAAAAACAAAACAGTGTAAATCACATTTTTAACCTAAGAGAAAATCCATTTTTAAAAGGCTCGCAGCTGTTTCATCTCCCTTTTCAGCTGAAAGGGTGAAGCACGATAGCCACAACTTTGTTACAGACTAAAATCCAACAGGTAATTCCAACACCACCTGAAAATAAAGAAATTCAACGTAAGTGAGCACACCAACAGTCCCGCCCACATTTCCTGCCTCTGCTACCTTAACTAACAGGAAATAAATCTCCGTCGTTCATAAGCTACCCAGTTTAAGGTATTTTGTTACAGAAACTCAAACAAACTAAGACACAGGGGAACAGGCTTACAGTATAATGTAAAAAGGGGATATAAAATGATAACTGCCAGATGACCTTAACTATTTCAAAATAAATGGGAAAAAAAGACTAGAAAAAGTAGACCGCAACAATAAGAGAGTTTATCTGTAGCTAATAAGATTTTTTTCAAAATTGTTCCTATATTTCTAATCATTCTACAATAACATGTATTACTTTGAACATCCAAAGGAGGTTATCTTTCAAAAATTAAAAGAGCAGCAAGTGCTGCAGAGGCCAACCATAAAACAGGTTGAAAAGACACAGAATTCGGGAATTAGAGGCAATGTTTCAATAAAGGGGGTATCAGACTCCAAGTACTGGATATGGATTCCAGAAGCAGACCTGGGACTGAATCCTAGCTCTGCTCCTTAACATTCTGGTGACACTGGACAAGTTAAGTAACTTCTCTAGACCTCGTTTCTTCACTGCAAGCCTCATGTGGGGCTGAGACAGAGAGCTCACTAAATGGATGTGAGAATGATGCCAGGCCAATGTAATCTTCTACCACACACCTCTACATAAGCCTCACTATACTCGCCCACTATATATTCCAGAAAAATCTTACCTGCTACTCTAGTAGGAAAGGCTACCAGGCGGTCTAGTGGGGTTATCCACTTACTCGGCACAACAGCCACAGGGACAGAATAGTACTTCCAAATGAGCGAGATCATCAGGGCAGCCTGGAAAGATACTTTTGGTAAATGAAAACAACCTGCCAATCACACAACCAATAGCCACAGAAAGAAAGACAAGGAAACATTAAAAAAAAAAAACTAAGGAAACTCTCCAGATTGATGACCTGAAGCCCTATCAATCCAGTCCTCACAGCCAACAGACACATAAAAGTAGCCACTGATTTCCATTGCTGAAACCTTGAAATAGAATGTCTAATTAAGTATGAGCTCCCAAGGACATCTAGAACAAACTGAACGAGTGGGCGAGCCTTCTTAAGTGAACAGGCATTTTACTATTTTAATATGAATACTATATACACACTATTTAAATTAGCTGATAAAATAACCAGATCTTCCATAAGTGTTCTTTTCTCACTGAGTATTTCCTTTGAGTAGAAACACTATATATCAAATACACATCAGTAACAAAAGCCATCTTATACTTCTCTCTAAGAGCCTTGAAAAAATACTTAATTCTCCCCACACACACAAGTGTTAGCACACACATGCAGAGGTGAGCCCTCTGTAAGTTTCAATGGTGGGTGGAAAACTGATGCTTTATTTTTCATCCTTTCCCCAGCAGGATTCCTTCAGTTGTCTTCTGTCCCCTTCATGGCCTTGAATATGCCACTCAAATGAGCAGACCTAAAAGAGGGCACCTGGTTTAATTCCTGTGTCTTGGTGAAACCTAGCTCATATCAAATGACAGTGCCTCAGGATCAGTTACTTAATATATCCAAAAACCTGGGGTTTTTTGGCGGGGGAGGGGAGGCTTGAATCCTTTAACTCAGGAGAGACGACACATTGTATTAAAACTCAGAGATTAGGCAGCCACTGGAGTGGGTTCACAGCAGCACATTATGACCTTACAGTAACATGGCAGCAGAAGCAGTAACAGTCCTATGGGTAGTTAACCAAATAAAAATCCCACAGATAAGAAGTTGGGGGCCAAGTTCGATGAGAAAAAATGGCTCCCTACCTGGAGCATAGAGAGTGCTGTTTAAGCACACCAGGTAGCAAGTAATGGTCAAAGTTATTGAGGATCTTAGAAAACTGTGGAGGATTCTGACATTAATGAGATAGAAATAAAACACATGTATTTCATAGGGCCAAAGCCCGTAGCTTAGAAGGACCAGAGTCCTGTAGTTTAGGAGGCCAGAGCCTCTAGCTTAAGGGACCAAAGCCCAAGCCTTTAGGAAAATACACAGAAATACTAAGATTGGAAAAGACCAGAAAACTTTCACAGGACTAAAGCCTTTGATGTAGATAAGACAACTGCAGCACAGTGAAGTGATTGCTCTGGGGGCAGTTGCCCTTAGTGCAGCTAAACCTAAATGATGGGAAAGTATGTGAGCTAAAATCTTCAAGAATATTCTTGCTAGTTAGTGCTTGAGGGACATTCCACATCTCACCCTAAGCTGTTTCTTTGAGTTTCTTGGGGAGCTAAGCGCTTTGGTGCTTATTTCATTGTTTCTTTTTGTATATCACATAGCTTAGTTTTATGACTCCTTTTGATGGTAAATTGCTTAAACTATTTTAAGTTACACCTTCTTTAATAAAGATTGTCACACAACCAGTTTATGTTTTCACTATGATTGATCAACCACCTGTTTTTCTTCTGTAACTTTTTTGTCTTTACAATAAAAACTGAAGCAAAAACTGACTCGGGGCTGTGCCTGGGCTCTCTCCTCTCTTGAAGGAGTTTTCCCTTGGCGCAGTCCCTTCGGGCTTCTCATTGCTCTGAATAACACAGACTCTGAGTAATCTTTTGTGTTTCCGTCACTCTGCAAGAGGTGACAGAAAACACAATGTCAATATAAGCTTCTCATTTCATCCCCCCAAGCCCCAAAAACTGCACTGGAATAAAGGCAATATGGAAGATCTCCTGGGAAGATGCTTCAGAGTTCATTTGCCAAAAAGTCCCAATCCTTAACAACTCAAATCAAGAGAAAGGCTTTCTTTTAGTCTATCTTCAAAATTCACAGGGTTCAGAGTTATATGCTGGCAGGACCACATAACACAGCAGCTTAAAGTGGAAACATATGAATTCCCAGCCTTGGATTCTGCAGGCTCTGTACCTCAGGAGGCCAGTCCATTACCAACTTTAATGACCCCAGGTGACACTAGAGTACACTTACTTGCAATATGTAGAAAGCAACACTTACAACCCATTTTATCTTGGCTAATTGAGCTGTCCGTGCTTTCACTGAAAGGAAAAACAGGATGAAACAATTATGTCAGTCCTGAAAAATTAAGAAAATATTCAAGTACACAGAAATGTTATTTTCCCTTAAAAGTCACCCACCATCTAGCTACGCCATCATTAAAATAGAATCCACTCAGATTGTGAGATCTGAATAGCTTTAATTTTGAAAACCCTTAAGAACATTCATCTGGGGCTGGCCAGTTAGCTCAGTTAGCTAGAGCACAGCCTTATAATGCCAAGGTCACAGGTTCAGATCCCCTAACAACCAGCTGCCAAAAAAAAAAAAAAAAAAAACTGTGAGAGACGGGCCAGTTAGCTTAGCTGGTTAGAGGGCAGCCTTATAACACCAAGGTCATAGGTTTGGATACCTGTCCCCCCAGCTGCCAAAAAAAAAAAAAAAAAGACTGTGAGAGCCTGGCCAGTTAGCTTAGCTGGTTAGAGGGCAGCCTTATAACACCAAGGTCATAGGTTTGGATACCTGTCCCCCCAGCTGCCAAAAAAAAAAAAAAAAAGACTGTGAGAGCCTGGCCAGTTAGCTTAGCTGGTTAGAGGGCAGCCTTATAACACCAAGGTCATAGGTTTGGATACCTGTCCCCCCAGCTGCCAAAAAAAAAAAAAAAAAGACTGTGAGAGCCTGGCCAGTTAGCTTAGCTGGTTAGAGGGCAGCCTTATAACACCAAGGTCATAGGTTTGGATACCTGTACCACCAGCTGCCCAAAAAAAAAAAAAAAAAAAAAAAATTCATCTGAATCAGATTCTTTTTATAAGCATTTACCAATACACGGCCATGAATCCCTAAATGGGTGTCCAGCTTATCCTGGCCTGGACCGACCCCTGGTAGGTTTTACTAGCCATGGACATCTCTCTCACTGTGCACACACCAGCACATCACTCAGTACACAGGCTGCCCTGCAAAATTGGTCTTCATCATAGTGGACTATGCTCTGAAGTCTACACTCAGATAAGGATACTGCTGAGCCTTTTCTAGAGAGTGGAACAAAAGCCTCTGGTTATCTACTATAAGGTTTTTTTCTGGACTTCTTTCAGAAGAGTGCTGAATTTGAAAATGAAAACCTACAATAACAAATTGGTTCTGAAGAAAACCTAAGAGGATCCTAAATGTTTCTGTGTTTAGAAAACAAAGGTTCACCAGCAAATAAGGAGAACGCAATAATCATTCTTGAGTTTCTTCTAGAAAACTCGAAAGTTTCTATCAGCATCTACAACATCCAAGAAACAAAGCATATATTCTACTAATCATTATACAAAGACTTCTCTATTAATCAGCTCTCATGATGCTTCCCAGGCTACAACTGCCACCAGTACCATGAGTTTTTAGCTTATCTGTCATCTTGTTGATCTTTCTTTCCAGCCTGGCGTATCTGGCAAACTCGTCCATCATGTTGACTGTGGAGAGCTCCTGCTTCATATCCTGGATCTCTGCTCTCATCTGCGACTCCTGCTCTGCATCCTTCTGCAGCACCCTGGACATCTGGCAAAGCAGACAGCTGGGAATCAGTGCTTTTCCTCATGGGGTACAGAAGGGTCCCCCAGCTCCCCCCACATTCTTTCTATGTCCTAATCAGGAAACGTGGAGTGCCTTGACTGCTCTGTGACCTGGCCAGCTGCATGTTTTCCCGACAGGCTTGAACCCAGGCCGGGGCCTTAACATTCCAAGGTACTGATAAAGCTGTTCAAGTCGTTGCTCAAAAACACTGACAGATTAAGCCTGTTGTTAAACATGTACAAACTAGCCCTTATCCTGAGCCAAATTCCTAAGCCCCCATATACACTCCATACCTTCATGGTGGACATACCTAGGTAAAATATCCCTGTCTCTCACTATCCATCATGAGGATTGCTGCAACTATCTAGGTTCCCCTAATAAATGCTTTGGAATGATCACCCCAGCGTTTAATGTTTCTTTCTATGGAATCCTAGCCAGCCCCATCTCTGGATGGTTTGGGGCAGTCCCTTGAGGGAACTCCCCTCCCACTGCTTTTGAGGCAACTCTAGCAGCAATTTCCGCTGGGCAAAACAGGTATACCTTCCTTCCCACTTCCTCCTAACATCCTACTGCTGTCCCTTTTGACTGGACAAGCTGCCCTTGACCCACATGGCCAGCTTCTGCTGCCTTTTCCAGCTCTCTACAACAACCACAAAAAAAAAAAAAAAAACCCGAAAACTCCCTCATATTTGAATCACTATTCAAAGTATATTTTTCCTTTTGCAGATATGCCCACAGATTGCTACAGTACAAATGTATATATCTTTCACTATAACTGTAAAATTTTGATTCTACAATGAAAACCAATTCCATTGCCAGAGCTGTCACTCAAGTGACAGGGAACATGAATCTTCTTCCCTTCCTGAAGAATTCAGTCCAAGATTAGATGGGATAGAACAAGGTGGGTGTGTGGGATCATGAGGTGGTGGCCAAGAGCAGGGTGTCAGAGCCCAAGCACAGTGAGGAGGACCTTCCCACAGAGAGGCACTCTGGCAAGGGGGGTCAAGGCCAAGTGCAGTAATATAGGCGTCCCCAACAAATGGCAGCCTTCCAGGGGAGTCAGAATCTGAGCAGGGTGAGGGGGATGGATGCACAAGACAAGAAGAAGGAACCCAGCCAAACACTGTGTCAGAACAAGGCAGGCACCCACACTGGTTAGGGGTTGGCAGTGCGGATGGAAGATTACACAGGACTGATCACATACAGTAAACATACTGAGTAAACGTCTTCTCACTGTCAGAGAGTTAGAAATATGCCTGGGGAGAGAACCACAATGAATCTTTATGGTGTTAGCTTAGAATTGGGAGATAAGAGTATGTACTCGTGATTTTCCACAGATACACAAAATACGAGGGTACTTCAAAAAGTTTGTAGAAAATCAGAATTAAAATAAAACATGAATATTTCCATGAACTTTTTGAAGTATCCTTGTATAGATGTAAATGCCCCTGCAAGTGGAGGGGACCCTGCGTGTGCTGATGGCCGGTACACTCTCCAGAGGACGTCAGGCCGGGCGCTCGGGGACGAGATGATAGTGGCCACCAGGTGGCGCCCGGCAACCGGGCGGGCCAGGGACTCGGGACTTCGAGGACACAGCGAACATCTCCACATCCAAGTCCTACGCCAGCGGATGAGATGCAATAATGGCTTCTGAGACATCCCTGCCAAGCATCGGACATACCCAGTAGGCAGCCATCCTGCAAAACCACTGCCCTGATATTCAGAAATGACAGTCGTGCAAGCAAAGAAAGACCAAGAAATTCCTGCAGACTGCAGGAGACTACACAGACATGACAAGTAAACACAACGCATGATTCTGAACTGGACGCTTTTGGTGAAAAGGACGTTACTGGAACAAGTGGAAAACCTGAACCGGACCAGAGGATTAGATAATAGTAATGGATTTGACGGCTGTTTTGTGGGCAAGGCCGCTGTTTATACACAGAATTGTCGGGGAATGAGGGGGCTCAGATTGAAAACTTACTTTCAAATGGTTCAGGAAACAAAATCAGTTCTTTGTACTGTATACATAATTTTTCTGCACATTCGTTTTGAAACTTTAAAAAGAGATTAATAAAAAAAAAAAATGGAAAAGGACAGTTTATCTAATGTGTACCCAGCACACAGCAAGTGCACAATAAATGAGTTTGTCCCCCAGCCACAGGTCCCTTCTTCCTGCCGTACAGCAAGACAACTCTTCAGTCATGGACAGGAAGCCAAGCTGCGCGTCTCCCAGGGGCGACTGCGTGTGCTCAAAATTCTTAGCCGCCCACCTCGGCTCCCCCGAACGCCTGCACTATGAGGCACTTCGAGCTGGGCACCGGGGTGCATCACACGGGGGCGCCTGCGCAGTGTGTGCGGTACCGCGCAGCTTCCTGCAGGCCTAGCACAGGGAGTAGGGGTCTTCAAACCCACCTATCCTTTTGCGGTGCTCCTTCCCTGTCCTCGCCACTACCCAACGCTCTAACTAAAGGAGACGTACTCCAGCCTGATCCAGCCTGGAAAAGAAAATAGGAATGGGCCATATTCTCTTAAAATATATATATCACAGAATCATGTCTCAAAAGCTGGAAATCTACAGATGGTGCTTAAACTCAAGAGACAAATGCAGAGTGGTAGAAAGGACTTTTTGAGATGACAGTCTCACTGTATGCAAGTTACACCTCAATAAACATGACTTTTAAAACCATACTTTAAAAAGAAGAAATAAAGGCGCAAAGATATCATTTAGCATTATATACCACACAAAACAAAAACTTGAAAATGTCAAAAATGGTTATTCAGGAGTGGAAGGTGAATGAGGGCAAGAGAGTGAACTTTAGATGAGAGCAACTGAAGGCAGTTTTGTGGTTAAGTCAGACAACTGTGGTGCTTGAAAAAAAATTACACCTATAAGTGCAAAAAAAAAAAGTTTGAAAGTGTTGCAGTTTGCAAATAAGTATTAATATTCATCCAAGAACTACATATAAATGACGTTAAAATGTTCTAGAATTATGAACTTAATTATAAGATTTAATAAAATTTGAATTCAAATATAGTAATGCAAATATTAATTTTTAGAAAATAAATCTCTGAAGTCTTTTGTGTACTCAAAAGCCAACTTCCAGGCCCTTACTAACACACAACTGATAGAAACAGATAAGCTATGCAGGGTGCGGCCTTTCAAGGATCTGGAGATAGGTCCACAGAGAATTCTGAAGCAGAAAATGAGTTTACAAAATTTTTATCAAGATGTCTCAGGTAGTGGAGAAATCCAGAGAGAAAAAAAGGACAGAACCAATCCTTACTGTCCACCTTTGTCCCCTGATGCCACCAGTCTGAGCTCATAATGGCTCCTGACAGAGTCACCCTTAGATCTTGTTCAGGTTTGATACCCTCTTTGCCAACAGGCAAAATTCCGAGGTTTGAACCAGGGGTCACTCTGGGGAGCCTCAAATTCCCACTCCACCACTCACTCACCGGCTGACAAATCTTGGGGCTAGACCCATACAAAAACTAACCCATGGCACGATGACGTGCACAGCTCGTGCTAGTACCTCCCTGGAATTCAGTGGGGAAGCCTGGAAACGACTAACTCGGGTGTGTCCCTGAACATGGGGGGCAGGGTCCTCCATCTCGAAAAGGGACCAGACGCTGAACAGCCCAATACCATGCTCGGCCAGGACCAAGACAGCCCAGTCGCAAACCCTGCCAGGGCTGAGAAGCAGACAATCTATCTAGGCCCACTGGCCGCCTCTCCTCCTGGTCGCCCTCTTCCTGGCCACCCTCCTCCTGGCACTGATCACCCCACGGGGACGACTGCCAGACCAGAGGCCCCGCCTGCGCACGCGCACCCCGCCCTATCACCCCTCAAATACACTTCTCTTAGGGTCCTGGGACAGGTCCTATGAAGCGGGCTATGTCGTCACCCCTAAACTAATATTTGGGGATCACCTCGTGTCTAGTCTTCAGTAGGGACTCCAGAAGCAACTCTCTATGAAATGGGGGGAGGGGCCTAGGAAGACTCCCTCAGAGGCAGATCCTATCTGCCTGTCACCTCAGTACCCTAGACGGAAAGGGAGGTGGCCACTTTTTAGAGCAGAAAGTAAAGGATAATTCCAAAAATGCTGAATCTAAAAATGGCGGTGGGCCCCACAAGCCCAGCCCCAACAGGGAGCTGGCGCGGTACCCGCTGCCTGCACAGCTGTGTCCTTGAGGGAGCGGCTACTGCGCCTGCGCACTGGGCGCAGCTCGCCAGTACCCCACCCTCCGCCTGAGTCTCTCCCGGGGCGCCTGCGCAGTGTGCCTCCCTGCGTCCGCACTGAGTGGGTGCTAGCCAAAGGCATCTCTGTCCACCCACAGCCCTATAGCTGAAGAAAGCACTGGATTGCCTGGTAACTGAACTAGGCTCTCTCATCCATGCATCTTATGACTAGCTTGAAGAAAAGGGAGGGACCCTCAGGAAAAGTCTAACCACGCCAACATCAGGGACTGGGTGTCCTTCTCCAGGCATCCCACCCCGACCCCAGTAGTCCATGAGATCGTCTCCCAGCACCTTGCCAGGTTTTGCTGGACCCAAGGACTTCTGCTACTTCAGGCTTCCTAAAAGGCCTCACTCCAGGGGACCAGGGCGGCCTTGACTGACCAATGGGGTGGGTGCACTCCCTCCCTAGCTTCTAGCTGGACGGAAGCTTCAGAAACACTGTAAGGAAGGTTATAATCTGAAGTACGTGGGCATGGCCCCATCCCTGAGGCCGCTGTACTACCAATCCAACTTTCTGTTTCTTTGGCATCAGAGGCTGTGACGGGGCAGCCTCCAGTGACTGTGAAGGAGCAGCATTTTACCCTACCCAGGACCAGTGCGTTCCCTACAGCTTTTCACAGACTCTCACCACAAACCCAGAGACCAGGCAAAACCGATCTTTTTATTACTCTTCCCTGTTCTGAACACCAATTATGCGGGCTGTATTCTGCTAGCATAATTATGTTATTCTTCTGAACCTGGCTAACAACCAGTGTTTACAACCAAGGGTAAATAGGTTTAAGAAAGCTAACTGATTTGAAGTTAGAGAGGCTACACAGTCTGTAGGAGGCAGCATAGGATGTGGACACAGGTCTTCTAAATGATGAACAGCTACCCTTATAGGGTGCAGCCTCATGCCTGGCTAGACTGCAACAATAACCCCATTGTGACAGTGGCCTAACTGCAGAGCACAGGTTTGGTGTAGGGTTGGTGACGGAGCCTGAGATGATGACAGGTCTTATTTATACCCACTGCCATACCCCAAACACACACTCCTCACTCCTTATCAGATACTGAGAAATTATGAACAATTAGAGAGGAAGACAACACCAACACAGCCTCTATGGGCAACTGAAATTAGTTTCTTGAGGTGAAATGGGATGAGGGTACATAGGGAGAATGGAAGTGACACTGCAAGAAAGATGCACAGGCAACTTACAGAATGGGAAAAAGTATCTGCAAGTCATATATTTCATAAAAGTTTAATATCCAAAATATATGAAGAACTAACAACAACAAAAAACCACAACAACTGGATTTAAAAAGGGGCAAAGGACTTGACTAGACATTTCTCTAAAAAAGATATACAGATGGCCATAAGCACATGAAAAGACGTGCAACATCGCTAATTATTACGGAAATGCAAATCCAAACTACAATGAGATACCACTTAACACCCATTAGGATGGCTATTATTTAAAAAATAATAAGTGTTGGAGGATGTGGAGCAATTGGAACCCTTGTGCACTGCTGTTGGGAATGTAAAATGGCCTGGCCACTGTGAAAAACCGTATGGCAGTTTCTCAAAAATATTAAACATAGACTCACGATATGATCCAGCAATTCCACTTCTGATTATATATCCAAAAGAACTGAAAGCAGAGACTTGACCAGATATTTGTACGCTAATGTTCTAGCAGCATTATTTACAATAGTCAAAAGAAGGAAACAACCCAAGTGTCCATCAACAGGTGAACAAATAAACAGAATGTGGTACATAACATGCAATGATATATTATTCGGCCTTAAAAAGGAAGAAAATTCTGACATGTACTACAACATGGATGAACCTTGTGGAGATTATGCTAAGTGAAATGGCAGGACATAAAAGGAAAAATACTGTATGATTGTAGTCATGTGAGGTACCAAAAGTAGTCAGATTCATAGAGACAGGAAGTAGAATGGTGGTTGCCAAGGGTTGGGATAGGCAGGAATGGGGAGTTATTGTATAATGGGTACAGAGTTTCCAGGTCAGGAAGATGAAAAAGTTCTGGGATGGTGGTGATGGTTGTACAACAATGTGAATGTATTTAATGCCACTGAACTGCACACCTAAAAATAACTAAGATGATAAATTTTATGTGTACTTTATATTTAAAAAAATGAATAAAGAAAGATGGACAGGGGCCAGCTCTTCAAGAGTCTTTTATGCAATGCTAAGGACCTAGAACATCATCTAAAGACTAGGCAGCATCAAAGATTCTGAAGAGTGTGTGGGGTTAAGAGAATTCCCTATACCTCTGGACAACGGCCCTAGAACAGTTTTGCATAAAACAGGCACTCAATGAATTCTAGTAGAATAAAACATAAAGAAGCAGAAGTCCTGCCTAGTATTAAGTACACCACCACCACCACCAATTTATATTAGGAGAGAAAAACAAGAACGGTTTCCCAGGACAAGCTACACCGCATGCACCCAATCTTTGAAGTCTCAGTCTGAGCCAGACAGCTCCTCAACCCAACCCCACCCCCGCCCCGGGGGAGAATACAGAGAGCTCCCTTCCTCAAGGGACAGCGTCCACACCCAACAGCCCACCTCCACGACCCTTTAAGTTTGCCACCAAATCCCTATTCATTCTCCAATAGGCAACAGGGCAGAACTGGGAGACTCACAAAGAATCAAATCTCCATTCCAACAGTTACTAGGTGGATAACTGAGTGCAACTGGTAAACTCTCTGAGCTAGACTCCTCCTCTGGGAGGTGAAGAAAGACGGGATGATAACATTCACGTGTCACATCTGGACAAGAGGTAATGTACTCACAACAGAAAGAGTGCTCCCCAGAGCTTGTCACTCCGATGGATACAGAAAGCATCACATTGTACTGACAATCTCTCTACACCTGTCCCCCACCCCAAGAATGTGGACTCCTGTATCCTGGGACCCGTCTCTCCAGGACAAGGCACTGTGACATGTCACTCCGATGGATACAGAAAGCATCACATTGTACTGACAATCTCTCTACACCTGTCCCCCACCCCAAGAATGTGGACTCCTGTATCCTGGGACCCGTCTCTCCAGGACAAGGCACTGTGACACTGCAGGTGACACTGCGAGAGAGATCTCCGGGAAACCCTGGCAGCTGAGAGCTGCTCAAATGCCTCCAGGGACCAGGGGTTAACGGAAATGAGCAGGGCTGGCGTGGGGCACCGCGAACTCCCAGTCGGAGGCACGCCGCTGCCACCCACAGCCGGAAGATTCCTGCCAAGTGAAAGCGTCCCCCGAGAATCTAGAGGGTCGTATTTGGGGATAAAGCTTCGCAGCTTTTAGAGGCTAGCAGCGATCTCAAAAAAGTCTTAAAACACAGAATAGACCAACCGAGACGCCACCGCGGGCTGAATCTGGCTCTCGGGCGACCAGTGTGAGACCCCTGTGTCTACGCCATCCCCGCTGGGGACTGGAGCGTCGTCCCCACCGGCCCCCGAAGGCCAGGCAGCCACTTACGAAGGAGGAGAAGGACGGGAGAAGGATCCTAAGGACATTGCACGCAAACACGAAGCTGAGCACTAGCAGCCACGCCCAGCGGTCGGCCTCCTCGGCGCTCATCTCGGACGCTCCTTGCGCGCCAGCACCTCTACGGCAGCTCCATGAAGACCACGCCTACGCGCTGAGGCCCAGCGGACCCGCAGAGGCGCACCGAGACGCCTGCGCACTGCGCCGCAATCGCGGGGAGGCGGGACCGTCTTTCCCTCTAGTCCGGAGGAGCGTTCAACGCGTTCCAGCTTCCTTCTCGCCTACCGGGCTTCCGTAGCCATGTCGCATCCACCCCACCATACCCACTGAACCAGTTTTCCAAATGGTTTGGGTACCATCAGCTGTCTAGTTTTGTCATATCTGCAAACCATTTGTATTATTTTTTAATTAATATTTTCTCTAAGTTGACTCACTTTTATTTCTAGATAAATTTATTTTAAAATAAACCTTTCCATAAATAGAAAATGACCATAGTTATAGTAGCAGTTAACTGTTAAAAAAAAAAGTTTTCTAATCAGTTATTATATGTAAAATGTCTTAAGTTTACATTCAAAAATAAACACTAATAAATCTGAACAATTTACAAAACTGCATACCTGAAAAATGAGTTTATTAATCAGAAGGCACTTTTCACAATCAGCCTATAATAAAATAACCTGAATTTAGATGAAGACTTGGTTTTACAGAAAAAGAATTCCGACTCACATTTATGTATAGTGAATAAAGCAAAAGATACTTAGCAATTTCTTCTGCCATGGCTGTATTCTGAGAACTAATTATTAATCAAAATGATGCAAAAGGCTGTGGTTCTATAAATTTCTATTTCAAGAAAACATGTGAAGTGAAGCTATTCCCATAGTGGTAGAGTGAATTCTTCCCATGAAAGGACTTCATGGCCTGTAGGCAACCGCTGAACTGCCCAAAGCAAAACAGCGTTAGAGCCTGCCTCTCCATATCCTCGCCCCACTCCACCCTCCTGTTGAACCACCCAAACCTGAAGCCAGACTCCTAGCTCCTCTACTCACTAGCGATTTAGACGGACATAGAAGGAGAAACTGCTTCATGAACAGTGATGGCAGTCCCCCCACCCCAGTCTTTGGCTTTCTGGCTGAAGAGGAGAGCACTGGCTGTTCCCCATACCATCACACCCCACCCCACTGCCGCATATCCACAGGAGAAGAATCACCCAATTCCTGGTGAGGCTAGAATGTGACCAAAAACACACTGGAGAATGTCCATGGCTTTGCACCAGTAGTGCAAGAGAACCAGCAGTACCTGAACTTGAGAGGCAACGCAATTTTTTTTTTTTTTTTTTTTTTTTTTTGTCCTTTATGAGACTGGCCGCACCACGCTCAGCCATTGAGTGCACCGGCCATCCCTATACAGGATCCAAACCCGCGGCAGGAGCGCTGCTGCGCTCCCAGCACTGCACTCTCCGGAGTGCGCCACAGGCTTGGCCCAAGAGGCAACACAATTTGAGTTAACTCAGGTCTCTTCTTGTAGGGAAAGTAAAGAAAGATGGTCAGGGCCTCTCAGATGTTCAGAATCTTGCCGAGCATTTGATGTAAATACGCACGTGCACCCAGGCATTCCTTAGCTATTGTCTGATGTAGATGAACATGGCCACCTAGGTGTTCCTGGGTTGTCTGACTTGCACCCAGGTGTCCTGGGTTATTAGACTTGAGTATAAAGGATGAATGGCTCTGATCCACAGTGCCACCCCCCCGACCCCTGGAACACCTCTGGGGGCTACAAGGGGGCCACTACTGCTGTTGGAGGCTGTTGCTGCAAGCTATTCCTGCCAGGACCCCTGGGACCCTCCAGGACGCCACTGATGCTGCTGCTAGAGGCTGCTGTAAGCTGCTGCTGCTGCTGCTAAGGAAGCTGAGGACTGAGCTCGTGTCATCTGCCAACAGCCCCCAGGATCTTTCCCAATTACCTAGCTCGTGGACCTGTGTGTGAGGGGTCTGGTGACCAAGCCTGGCCTATGAGAGGTCTGTGACCCAGTCTGTATATGAGGGGTCTGTGCCTCAGTCTGTACAAAGGGTTTGAAGGGCCTGTGGGCCCTACCCCAGCAATTGGCTACATTGGCAGGATTCTGATAATTGCCCCAGCCATACGCTCCTGTTGCTTTTTTTGGGCAGCACTCAAAATAAGCACTACTAAAGAGCAGTGATGTCACCAAGATGACAGAATACATGATCCTGGCATTAACCCCCTCCCCTACAACTGATCAATGTACAACTATTAAGATAAAAACTGCCATCTTGTAATCACTGAAACTTGGGAGAAGAAGAGGAAAGACTGAGTTCATGATGGCGTGGAAACCCGTGACTAGTGGGAAGAGGGATTACCACATCAGACCCAACCCCTGCTCATGGAGAACCTACCAGCACACAGAGCAGCCACCTAAAAACAGCAGTACCTTTTGTGTGAATCTATTTGAAGTTTGCAGCAGAGAAGGATACCATGACCACTGGCAAAAACAAAAATCACTCTGGACGTGCCATCTTATTTTCCGGGCCAGCAAGCTGCTTGCAGGCTCCCCCTGTGTCCACATAGAAGGGAGGGGCTGCAGTCTAAGGGAGGAAGAAATCACCCAGAGCTCAGTGTGTCTTTCATGGGGACTTGTGTGGGGCCTGCCCCACAGGAGGCGTTTGCAGTGCCAGGGGAAAATCAATAGCATTCCTATATGCCAATATTGAAATATTTGAGGAAGAAATCAAGAAAGTAATCCCATTCACAATAGCTACCCCAAAAATGAAATACCTAGGAATAAATTTAACCGAGGAGGTGAAAGACCTCTATAATGAAAATTATAAAAGATTGGTAAAAGAAATTGAAGACAAATAAATGGAAAGATATCTCCTATTCATGGGTTGGAAGAATATCATCAAAATGTTCATATAACCCAAAGCAACTTGCAGATTCAATGCAATCCCTATCAAAATATCAATGATATTTTTCACAGAAATAGAAAAAAAAAACATTTTAAAATTTGTATGGAACCACAAAAGACCCTGTATAGCCAAAGCAATCTTAAACAAAAAGAACAAAGTTGGAGGCATCACACTACCCAACTTCAAAATATACTATAGGGGCCAGCCTTGGCTCACTGGGAGAATGTGGTGCTGATAACACCAAGGCCACAGGTTTGTATCCTTACATAGGGATGGCCAGTTAGCTCACTTGGGAGAGCATGGTGCTGACAACACCAAGTCAAGGGTTAAGATCCCCTTACCAATCGTCTTTAATATATATATTAAAGACGCACACTCACATATATATATATACTATAAAGTTATAGTAACCAAACAGCATGGTACTGGCATAAAAAAAGACAAATTGACCAATGGAACAGAATAGAAAGCCCAGAAATGAACCCACACATCTACAGCCAACTGATTTTCAACATAAGTACCAAAATATACACTGGGGAAAGGACAGCTTTTTTTTTCCTTCATGCAACACTTTATTGGGAAAGATTTACACATTCTAGCCTGTCTTAGGCCAAGGGACAAGAGGGTGACAGGAGCATTGGGGTCCTGAGGTGGCTCAGATGGAAGGTGCAAGAACAGCAG